AGTAGCCATGGGATCTCCTCTGGGTCCATTATTCGCTGATTTCAATATTCACAACAAGGAATGGCTGAGTTACGACGTTCAGGGGACGTGAAATTGAGGTTTTTGCAGTGGTCAACAACCTAAGTCAAACTAGTTGACCTCCCCACACGCATCCGTGATGCTATCGGTGACAGCGCCCACACCCTTGATCTCATTTTCACATCCGTTCCTTCTTATTTCTTCAACATCATTCTTTTGCCCCATTAGGCTCATCGGACCATTACCTGATTTCTTTTCTCACTCGTTTATCCCACTCCATTTTACCACCTCGAACCGGACGCACCTTTTGGTGTTACAGTTTTCGTGACTTTCTGACCTGACATCTCCAGAATGATTTATGTTTCAAAGCTGATGTTTCCATTTCTGTTTTGAACTTCACAGAGATTGCTTTCTTGATATCTTAATATTCTACACTTTTTCAAACCCGGCAAACTACGATCCTTCGAGTGATTTAATCATGCTTGCAACCATGCTGCCAGTTTTAAAAGCTCAACATTCCATCGTTGGCGCCACTCACCCAAGCCAGCATCCTACAAACGCTTCGTGCAAGTCAGTAACAAATGCTAGGTCACTAGCCAGAGAGCTAAAGAACGCTTCATTTGTCACAAAGTTGCGCGCTTGGCTTCTTCCGCCACCAGTAACCGAACATTCTGATCCCTCGCTAAAGCGGTTTCACGTAATTTCTGCCCTCCCAACTTTTCTCCCATTTGCGATCCCGCTGGTAATTTTGTTTGTGAACAACAACTCCACCTTATCTACCGACTATACTGTTTAACTCTCTTCCCATACATCTAGCCACTCCTTTTCACCTATCACAACAATTAGAAACGTCCGCCAACCCCTTCGGGGTTTGGATGTTTGTAAACCGCCAGATTTGGACAGTATTCTTTCCATCTTCCTAAAAATATGCCCCGAAATTGGCCCCTATTCTACGCCGTCTTCTCTGTTCTCCACGCAATCTTAAATCCCCCACTCCACGGAAGAACGCAATTATTTTTCCAATCCTAAAGCGCGGTGACCCTTCTGGCCCCCAACAACCATCGTCCCATCACTCTCATTTCTGTAATTTCGAAAGTGTTTGAAACCATCATCTCCGACCAGCTGCAAAGGGTTTTTGAATGACCGTCAATATACATTTAGCCCTCGCCGTTCTTCGAGTAACCTAGTGATGCCCATACCACATTCCTTGTCATCTACACTCGATGACCACGGAGAAACCCACATGGTCTCGCTCCAGGCCTTCGACCGCGTTTGGCATGATGGTTTGCTGTCGAAATTGCCCAAGGTTCGCCCACCCTCTTTCTTTTGTTTATCAACGATCTTTTGTCCAAAACCTCTAATCCCATTCACTGCTTTGCCGATGATGCCACTCCCCATTGTTCTTTCTTATCCCACAGTCTGTCAAGCTAATATCAACATCGATCACGATCGTAATGTCATTAGTGCTTCTCTTGCCTCCGATCTGTTTTAATGCTTTCTAAACTTCTCTTCTCTCACTCTCTTAAACGTGTCCCCTGTTCTCCCCAATTGATTTCTGATTCTCTGTCACTTTGTTCCACAAATTACCTCTTTCTCCTAGGTTTACCCATAAATTCTTCTCTCTATTGGTCCCCTTTTATTTTTACACTTGCCTCTCGCGTTGCGCGTAAAGTCGGTTTTCTGCTCCGTGCAAAGCGCTTCTTCAGATCCAGGCACCTTCTCCTTTTGTACAAAGCTCAAATCCGCCCGAGGCTCAAATATTGCAGTCGCGTATGGGGATGGAGCTATGTATTCCGCTCTAGCTCACCTTTTGACCGTGTTCAACGTAAGAGCATCCGGCTGATCGAAAATCCGTCATTGACTTTCAACCTTCTGTCGCTTTCCCATCGCCGGGCTGTTGCTTCTTTATCACTCTCTTATCGTTACTATTTTGGTGTCTGCTCTTCTGAACTCGCTTTAGTGGTTCCCCTTCCCTTGACCTTTCCTCGTCCATCTCGTTCTCAGGTGGGCAGACAACCTGCCTCTAGATGTCGAACCTCTATCTTCCAGTCATCTTTCCCTAAGACTGAAATTGTGGAACACCCTTCCCATCTCCGTATTTCCAGGCGCTTATAATCTTATTCTTTCTGAAAAGCTGGATTAACAAACTGATTCTCATTTAAATGTTTCTCATTTGTGTCCTCCTCCCCCCCCCACCTTACAGTATGTCACTGAGAACAGGATTTAATTCATTTTGCCATAAACTACATTTTGTGTAATAAAAAACTCACTGATAGCAGACGCCCCTTTCCTCGATCCCACAGGACGCGGTACCACGATTCCACCCGAGCTGCCAATCTTCGTTCCCAAACCCTGTAAGGAAGCGGTTTTACGCTAGCCAAAAGGTTGTTCGCACCGGCTCGGGAACGCCGTCCGCTGGAATTAGATGCGTCTGCAGCGGTATCGTCATTGCAAGTCGATGCACTTGTGGCGTTCGACAAGGCGGCCACGAACTGACCTCTCTCTTTCGGTGTAGCTAACAGAATAGTCATGCATGTGGCTAACAACTGACTAGCTTGCGGAGCAACGGAAAAAGCGAGTTCAAGGTCGAACAGGCAAAGGCCACGTGAGTTTTGGTCCATCGGCTGATTGATATGTCCGTCGTGTTGCGTGAGGCGACTGCAGTAAGCCAGTGAGTCACTGATTCCGAGAAATGGGTCAGAAAGCCATAAAAACTGATAGGCTTCTAGTAGCTGTGTGAGGTGGAAACCAAGAAAGAAGGAATAAGTAGTTACAACACATCAAAGTACTTATAATTATAGAATTGTGTATATGTAGGAACAATTATTCACAAATATCTGCATCCCAATGAAAGATCGAATACCAGCTGACGAGTGTAAGGAAATTCTTGTTTTTACATTTTGGCTACGACTGAATACACACGTCGGATTTGGAAACCTGAATCGTGCGAGGGGTGCGAACACTGGTTTGATGTAGTGGATATGAAAAAAAGAACATGGCCAAAATTACCTCGTCAAAAATGGTTTCCTTCCATCTTCCGTTCCCGTTTTAAAATCCATTTGCATATCCAAATATTTTGTTTCCCTTTCAATCACACTTTTCTCAATCACTTGTTCAATTAAATAATTGATTTATCACGGTCGCTCAGTTCATTTTCAAGGTACGGACCACGAAATGCTCATTTACTCATTTAGGCTACTACTAAACAGCTACCACTTAAACGAGTCCTGTGAAAAGGAAAAGTCTCGTGGTATTGAACTCTTCTTCAACGCGACGATGATAGTAATTGGAACGAAACCAAAAATGGAACTCTTGTTTGGGGGCTAACTCCTGAATTGTGCTCCAGTGGATTTTTTACAAGATGTATCATCCCAAGAAACATTTGACTCTTGTACGACTAAATTCTAACAGTTAACAAACATTCAGATTCAGTAGCGAAAACCGTGGCCTTCCGAAACGAATATGTTAAACATCGGAAGAATTCTAGGTTCATAAATGATTAAATTACTGAGAAACACAACTGAGATCAGTTTTCAGTTTGTCCAACCATTAACCATGCACTGTCGTGCGCCGGTTTTGGTTTCTGTCTTTTGGCCGCCCATTTGAATGGATAATGGGAGAAAGACAGGAGGATTGGCAGTGGAATCCAAGAGGAAATTGGGAATTTCAGTGGATTAATGTTGCAAAGAAATTGAGATGCACGAACGCCACTGTTTAAGACACTCAGCCATAGCACACATCAGTATCTCTAGCCGTCAATTACGATCGTCCCGAGGTGCCCAACAGGACCTATGCACCGTGTCTACTGCTTAGGGTGTTCATACCCTCGTGCCAGGTCTTCCTTTGACTACCCTTGATCTTTTTCTAACTGCTACCTGCCTCGGCAAACATCGCACGCCGTGGCAACCTAATTGGTGATATGCGTAACCAGCGTAATCTATGAAGGTTGACCACTTGCTCCAGTGGACGAATGCGATTACCTGAAACTCTATGTCTAACCTCATTGCATTGTAGCATCGCTCGTCCGGTTACCCCATCAGACTCGCGCAATGCGATGTAGACAGCGATGTTCAAACACCAGCAGTCTATCTTCGTCCTGTTTTATTAATGGCCAAGTTCCTGTTCCATATAGCAGAACTGGTCGAACTGCTGCAGCACATACCCGACCCTTCACAGACAGCCGGGTGTCGCGACAGCGCCACAAATGTCTCAAGTTGGTAAATGCCAACCGAGCCTCCTGTATGCGAGCTGACACTTCATCCGTGATGCGTCCACCGGGTGAGATGTAGCTGTCCAGATAACAAAACTTCTCCACCTGCTCTATTACTTCCCCAGTTAGAGTGACGCTGGGTGCTGGACCAACCCAGTCTTGTAGTAGCATTTTACACTGTGAAGGTGCAAAACGAATACCGAACATGGCTACACTAGCACTCAAACTTTCCAGAAAAGCTTGTAACTTCACCAAGTGGCACAATGTCGTCTGCATACTCTAGATCAAACAGCCTGCCACCTGGCAGTAAATCGATGCCACTATCTTCGCGCGAGGATAGGGCTATTTCCATAATCACATCGATAACAAAGTTAAATAGGAAAGGGGAGAGGAAAACCCTACCGAACAATTTCTGTTGTGAACTCAGGTGAAAAAGTGCCGTAGGCTCGGAATCGGCTTCGAATATTATTGTACACGGATAGTAACATAGAAATAAACTTCTCGGGTACACCCGACCGGTTTCGCGGATTGCCGCCCATCGGGTATACGTATCGAGCAATCTCCTATCATCCACATTATCACTCGAGAATTCATATCTCCTCAAATACTGGGACAATCGTTCAGATAAGTTTTCTCAACTAATCTAGTTTTTTCACTACATAAACGTGTGTGATGAACTGTAGACGGGGCGAACCCCATAGTCTTGAACACCTACTGTTTATTGATGGAAAGCGGTAACCCCGAAGCTTGGAATACGGAACCACTGATGGTCCAGCCGGGATAGGGGTGACATCGAACCGGACGACAGTAAAGCTGTCCAACCACCAAATTTGAGTGGTGGNGTGATCGGGCCCGAACCTCGGACTATGGGGTTCAAAGCATGCCGGTGACAGACACTAAACCACTGCAAGAGAACCGTTTCATCTGACTCCTTGAGTGGGTCATGCGAGGGACAGTACCGACGAACTGGGGCGGTGAGCGGCAAATCACATGCGCAGATTCAGTGGAACCAGCAAGGAATCACATTACGATAAGCGCTAAAGGTATTTATATAATGGCCCCTAACCATTACACACACATAAATGGATCATAAAAGATAACAAGCAGGATTACCTCGGGTGTATGATCCGTAATTTCCTGTCCAATCGGACCTCCCTGATCGTTCCACCATGTGGCCCAAGTAGATAGCAAAGCCTCCTCCAGCCTACGAACACGCCACAAACTTAATCGAGCAACCAAAATAGCAACTCGCTCCTCCGAACTAGTGGCCGCACTCATTGATTGCGGACCGGATGTGGAAGTAGAAAAACCGGACGAGTCATTCGGACCGGGGATAAGTGAGGCGGTCACACCACCGCTACCGGGCTGAATTGCATGTTCCAGTTCGTCCATGATCGCACGCATAGGTGTCAACTGTCGAGAATCGCCGGACACGAATAAACGATTTGAGCTGCGACGTCGAGGTAGACCTGTGGTGGGAAAATGAACCGGGAGGGGGGGGGAATTGTAGGAATACGTTTGGTAATAGCAAAACGTTGAAATGGTCCATTGTTAATACCCCTTTGGGGCAACAAAAAACATATTCCCATAAAAGAAATGAAACGCCAAGAACATACCGCAATCGGACAGCTCATCCTCCGTAGTACCTGAGCCCAATGTAGCTTGAATAGATGATTTTGCTCGAATATCTCTGAAATGGTGAAATAAAGTAAATAACCATAACACAACACAGTTTCAAGTGAATAATCGTTTTACTTTTATCTACTGAACATAGAAGATGTAATCAATGATTACAAACGGGGTCGTAACCGACGGAGGGCGATTAAAAGAAAGATGCCGGTGGGAAGATTGGAACTGGTGAAGTGTAAGACATTGGATGGATGGCCCTCAACGCTTAACCGTCGCCGATCAGAACCAGTAGCATAATTTTACTGGTTCATATGATGAATTTGTCATATGCAGACCACGAGAAACGTGGAATGAAGAAATCAGGAGCATTGCTCAACTGGTTCGACCCAGTTGAGTTGCATCGGCGGTGCAAATCTAACAAATCCGGGACCTCAGAGAGGAAACGAAAGTGCACTACCCACGTGAAAACCGAGCAGCTGATAACTGTTTGACTATTTCTATATATGAACAACCCATCATAGTGGCAAAAAGCGGTAGAATTCAGTCCAAAGGGGACTTAACGGCATCTGATGAGATCAGTCTCAGATACATTTAAGTCAAATAAAAAGTGCTCATATGTAGTTAACACTAGAAAGATCGGAATATTCATAACCCCTAGAAAGGTCACTGCCATTTTGACCGGGTTGTGGACAAATCGCTTGCATTTTTCAATAGCGATATTTGGATCTGTCTGATGTGATAGATCGATTTCCCCTCTGCGTTAACTATGCGCTTAATCACCGCGGTCCATGAGCAATAGGGTGGGAAATCATATCTCAATATAGCAAAATTGGTAAAAACAAAGGTTAACTAACAGAATCTGTAAAATAAGACGATCTACTTTGCGGCATAGGGACGCAGCTAAAATAAACCCATTACATGAATTTTATACTATCCTAGAATATAAAATCTGATCACAATTGAGTGCCCGATTTCAGTGACTAGAGCATGGGCTATTGCCTTCGTTTAATCCCATCCACAACGAACTGTTTGCTCATTTCGTTATGACCATTGTTAATTGAAAACGATCGATAAGCCCCACGTGGCCAGCGTTGATCAAAACAAATGCATCCATTATAAGTCAAGACTTCGATAACTGCTCAAGCTCATCATGAAATGCAAGTGCGCCGCTCAAAGTGTGTGCATATCTTGCACATGTGTTTCGGACAGGTGCATGAAACTAATAATCGCATTATCAATTTGGACTTGAATGAGACGATTTGAACTCAGTTTAAGTCCCAAACTGTTAGCGTGTGGAAAATAAAGCTGAACCAAAAGACAAGTTAGGAAAAAAATCTGTAATATGGACGCAAAAAAATGCATCATTCACAATCACCTCAAAATTACTTGTAAATTGTGGTGTGGGATAAGTGATACTGATTAATACCAATCATCTTTCAGTCCCCATTTTCACGTACAATCCTCAGTTCGTCCAGTCAACCATCCAATGGGGAAGCACTGGAATCCATTTCCGCTTTCACGATGGCGCATCAATAGGGTATATCTACGGCCCCACCCAGGTTTTTAATTCTGTACTTATCGTATGGAAGGGGTGTGTTTCCATCGCGTGCCGACCAGCTCACAACGGGTTTGAGCAGAACTACTAATTCAGGTTTGTTCCGGTTTAATTTTCAACGATAGTCAGTTATTTCATTTTTGGGTCAACATTAACGAAGGACCACACAGGTGAACAGCTGTTACTTCCCATTGAAAGCTTTCCACCAATCAGGTCTTCCTTGCAGGTTCATATTGACTTTCCACCACTTTTACAAGCGACGGTTTGGGTATTGCTGCACATAAGCTTATAGATAAATCATTCGGTTGTAAAGAAGATATTTATCTTGCGGTCCGCTACAGTGCATCACAGTCATACACATTTACTTGAGAAGAGAACAACCGCGGTGAATAACTCGTTACGAAGGCCCATAGCCGTGTTGTAAGCCAATAGAAGGAAAGATACTCAAGTATAGTTCTTAGTAAAACCATCTCACTGAAAACGGTATACATATCGCGAAGGACATAATTTAATTTTGCACAAAATTATTCTTAAGCAATGAAGTAACCACACTTGAAGGAGTTTTCTGCAAACCAGTCGAGATCGGTGAAAGATTGCGTAAGAGAAAAACTACTCACGAGTAGTCTGATTCAAATTGACTAATATACATGCTTCTGTAAGTTGGATGGGTAAATTGGAATGTGAAAAAGATCAGTGCTATCGGTGTGGCCTCGTAGCTCAGCTGGTAGAGCATGCGCGTACAAAGCGTAGGCGGTGTCCATGCGTGGGTTCGAATCCCACCGAGGCTACTGAACTTTACACATTCGACATACTGACTAATATACACCGAAAAGCTAACGGGATAAAACAAGACCAAACAGAGAGAAAGGGTTCGAAGCCAACCGTGAAAATCAATACACAATAGAGAGCTTCAGTAGATATAGTACCGCTTAAAATATGGCAACTTACGGTGGCATCAGTTGTAGTTTTTGCTCAAACAGCAGTTCCATTTTTTCAGCCATTCGACCGATACGTGATGTGACCCCATTATATCGGTAGCAATTCAGCAACATCAGTCGAAAATCGCAAACAAATTCACGAATATTTCGATACACGCCCTGGTCAAATTTTTCACCCACTAAAAAGGTCAAACCGGTAAGAGAATAGGACGTGGTTGGTTAAGCGTCAGCGTTAGCAAATCTACTGTCAATCATTGAACATTGTACTAATGTCCTTTAAGGGGAAAAGTAATGGGGCTCGTTCTAGTTCGGTGAACACAACTCGAAAGCGTAATCAGCCGCATTGCAACAAACCATCAGTAACGTAAGAAACATGAAACCACAAACCTGCCTGTGGTCTGTGTGCCAAATCACTTTACTTCACCTTAAATCAAGTCGTATTCATGTCTATGGACGGTTCCTATCGGTCCTCAGGTATCGAGCCACAGCAGGCACAGAGAGAATAAGCTTCAGAAATGACGAGGATGAAACAGCCGCTCGGTGCTGTTAAGCTTACTTGTAAGCGTGTGGTGGGTTAACTCTAAATCACTAACATTGAACGTTCCACCAAATGCTCCTTGAACACCATAATTCGTCGCCGAGAAATATTCGCATTTGTGGGTTTTAATAAGCTGAGTAATCGATTTTACCCACTCCTATGTGATGAAAAAATCAGATGGGATAAACCCCACAGTCAGGAGGATCTACTGTTTTAACTTGGCAACCAGCAACGTAAGATCCGAGACTTTGAGTGATGGACCACTGAGGCTCCGCTAGCACAGCCGTGGTACTCAGCTGAGCGTCAGCGAAGCTTCCCACCGCTAAAGCTGATTCGTTGTGGTGGCAGGCTCAAACCTCAAACCCTCTGGTTCAAGGCACACCAATAACACCGAATTAAACCCCTTTCATCACCACCACTTCTCTTTCCCAAATGGAGTGGAAAAGAGAATGCAGTGTGTTGGCAGACAAGCTTTGGATAGCTCTGAAGGTAGCCCATCTTCTTCAAGAGCCTTCTTGCTTTTCAGAGGAGTGACTACATAGGCGATTTCTGTCCTACTAGAGGGGTCACAATTGATGTCGTAGGTATCTGATCTGTTTGATATCTGTGGACAGCCAAGTTAGTTTGATGGACAGATCGTCGAAGTGTTCGACCCAGCTTTGCATTTTCTGTTCATTTCCCCAAATATGTTGGCCCGCAGCGTCGTACAAGTGGCTCCCATGTCTGCTTCTTCTCGGTTGTAAAGGTTACAACCATGCCGTCTGCAGTCATCTTCCAGTATTCTTTGCGGTCCTTCTGGGCGGAGCGTGCAACTTGGCCACATGGACTAGGGAATTGAGGAGAATTGTTCAGCCGAGCCTCTCTTGCCTTAGCGGACAACTGCTGTGTACGTTCGGAGAACCAGTCGTTTTGCGACGAAGTCTTACCTAACTGCCCAGCGCCACTTCTCCGATGAACGTTTTAAGCGTGAAACACAGTTGCGTCGTCGAGAAGAGTTACGGCTATGTTGAAAGCGGTTTCGTCCAGTAACGCCTGTTTCTTCTCAGGTAGTTTCAAGAGAGCAACGTTGAATGTCTAGGGGACGACTCCTCCGATAGCTATTTGAGGGGACTTTGAAGCGGGCGCGAACAAGGGTAAAGCTTGTACCGCTACCGTTTCCAATTTATGTGCCGTGACAAGTACGACATTCCTCCACTGAAGTGATCCAGCAAGCACGTATCAAAATCTAATCAATCTGGTGTGTCGTTTGACTGTCATTCGAATACAAAGCAAGTAGGTGTGTTTCTGGGGTGCTGGAAACGGATATTGGCCACGGCCAGCCGGTTAAGGTTAGCCAATGTAACTAGACATTCGCCATTTTCACAACGTTGGCCCAGGCCGAACATACCCAGAACATGCCAAGTATATTTGTCTGATCAATCAGGATTGGAGTACTCCTAAGATTCAGACAGATTGCTATCATAGCGGAGTTTGAATCAATGTTTTACCAAGTACGTGTTATCTAGAAGGATCGTGATTTCCTAAGGTTCTTATGGTGGGCGAACGGTGAATTGTCCCCATCTCAGAAGGGATACCGGATGACAGTCCATTTGTTTGGTGCAACATCACCTCCAAGCTGCGCAATATTTGCCTTCAACCCAGCGATTACCGATCAGGCAAGTGACTAGGATGAGGACGTCATCCGAGATGCTAAACGAACTTTATACATTGATGATTGCTTGATTAGCGTACCGAATCGAGTCGACGTAATCTGTCTTTCCCGGCAGCTGAAGTCGATGTTACGGAAGAAAGGGTTCAACCTGAGGAAATGGAAGAGCAATGATTCAGAATTGATGACATCCATTCTTGGTTCAGAACGTGCCGCCACACACATCCAACCACCAGCGGTTTTCCAAACCACGGTGTATCAGAATGCCAGAGGCATCGAACAATTGTGTCCGTTAGAGGGAGAGATCGACAAGGATAAAACTTGGGGATGCTCGTCAACGTCAGGGAACTCCGAATTCGTGGAGGGGTGACATTCTGTGCAGGTTTCATTGTTCTCTTGCTACTACTAACTGTTGTCAATAGTCAAACTCTATTCGGACAATCTTCCGTTTCTATTGATTGATTGTAATCTGTCTTGGTCTTGGTGGCCGGCCATCTTAGTTTGCTTGCTGTTTGCTAAGACCACCACACATTGGTGCTCTTTGTTGAACTGCTGGTTAAATTACTTCGAATGTACGTTTCCTTTCGATTTCAACCTCGTCGTTTATCATAGCGTATGCTAACGTATTGCTTTATCATTACAGAACCACTAAAGGCAAAAATCCGAGACATTCTGACTATCTTCTGATAATGCTATTGACCTCTAGGTGAGTATATCCGATCAACGAATCGCGTAGCAACACAAGGCGTGGATTCCAGTCTCCTGTGATGAGGAGAAAATCGTGTCTCGGAATGCGGTTGACCGCGTCTTGAACATAATTATGGCAGTCATCTTCGATGGGCGCTTCCGTGTATAACGTTAGGGCGTAGACAGCGATGACAGTCAGGTGAAGCGGATTACCTCTAAAGCGCAATCCTGGGAGAAATTGGTTCCCAGGAGATCACGGCATTGTTGGCCTGGTAGTTTACGGCGATTACTACTCCGTGCAAGCCGGAGTTGTCAGTTGGTCCGCTATGGTATAACCGGTAGGTTGCGTCGCCACGTGGTACGTTGATCTATTTTGCGCTACAACTAAGCAATCGGACTTCGGACACAGTAAATGTCTATTTCAGAATCGTGCAGTGAACGCATTGTGATACACTGGCTTCCTGCGTCTACCAATATCCTAACATTCCAGCAAGCTGGGTGGATGCTGAATCTGGTGCACAGATGGTTCAAGTTCCCAGCTTGCTCATTTGTCACCTCAGCCACTGGGAGAGAGTAATGTGCGTCGCTTCCCGGGAACAACGTAGCATGAACTTGATGTAGCACTGTAGGACATCCCACGAAGAAACTTGGGAATGTGATACTTAGTGACGTCACCAGCGTCGCGCGTCTTTTTTCGAGGGTGCAACTATAAACCTTGCACAAGCAAGAACGACCTGCAGGATAACAAAATGGAGTAAGTGGCAGCTGGTGACCGTCAAAGGGGCTCTGAGCGAGTCCAGGATCCAAACGTGTCTGTGAGGTCTGAGGGTCGGCAACTAATGCTTAACTCATATACTCCAAAACCTTGTCCTACCCGGGGGCGAAGGCAAGTGGCAATGGTCTTATCTGGTGGCGAGCCACATTCGCAAAGGTCACGATGCTGTCAGCAGAAACTTATGTAACGGTTGGTGTTAGTGTGTTCCCCGCAGAACACATTAACATCCGCATCCCGAGCTACGATCATCCCACATTATTTATATAACTAGTTGGTTGGAGACACTAAAGGATATGGCAACGAACCGATAGTAGTGGTATTCTTGTTGTCATTTCTTATCAAGTTAGAATGCATGAAAAGGTATATATGTGCCGTTAAATTGTATGCTCTTTATTGATTTTATTTGCCTCCCTCTAATTAGACCGAAACCCACTTTGTACTTTCTTACTTACCTTGAGCACATTGTGATCTTGATAGTGATCAGCGAAGTTTGCTACACAGTATTTCACTGTACGATGATGATGGTTTATGCTTGTGAAAATTGACACGTTTTACCAACATTAGACTTCCATTAGTCCAATACTGTGTGTAAGTTTCAGCACAGAGTGAAATAGCAAGTACAAAATTTAACAACTACGATAGTGATCAACAGACTAACGCGTAAAGTTTTTGCTAGAAAAAATGTATAAACCTACTTCGCTTGAGCCACATTGGTTCCGTTACGATTGATCGGTAGTCCTTAAGGCCAAGTGCTTCGGGATCGACCTCCTCCATGAAGGGATAGGTGAGCTGAGCCAAACTGCGCGACATGAAGGAGTCGAACAATTCGCGAGCAAGTGCTACCTCGGATCGTCTATCTTCACCGACAGAACTCATTTTTTTGAACGGATTTCACACGATTCCGAATGCGTGAGGCTATAAAGAGAGAAGTATTGTTTTCCCGTTGAAATTGATAGAAAATTGTTGACGTTTCATACTTTGTACCGGAGGCTACAAACAGATGTGGTCTCTTCGAAATCTATGAAACAACAAATCGTTGACAAGATCGACAGTAACAAGCATTGCACAAGAAAAAGGTGACTGTATTTATCAATCGAAGGCTAGTCCAAGCGACCAAAATAATATGGCTTAAGAAAAGCTGCGATTAAACTTCGATTCGAAACGAAAACCTTGAAACTAGCCTCTAGATCACCTTGATAAATGGCCGCGAAGTTGGGAGCGGCCAAAAAGTGATCCCCGGAAGCCGTGATTTGCACAGTTGGGACGTCAAATTACCCGTTGAGAACTTTATCATCGGATAAGGCAAACATGATGTAGGTTAACGCTTGAAAATGCTGCTAGATATGGGTAGACAATGCAGTACTATACGTTCTGTACAAGAAACCTGGATGATTAGCTAAACAAGAATTAACTTTCTCGAGCGTTGTAAACAGGATAAGGGGTAGGCTCTAAATAAAGCGAAAACGGGTATTTTATTACACAGTGAAGGAAACCTTATGTTTTCATCTTCATTTTTGCTCCCTTTTATTGAATACACAAAGATACAATTTTCAAGAAGGGGGAAAGGGCCAATCAAAGGGCTGCCATTCAATACAATGTGGAAAGTCAGGTGGTGGTGGTGGGATTCGAGCACATATCCCCGGGGTGATATTTGGTAATGTTACCACCGGGCCACCACCCCCCATGTTCAGTTATTTGAAACAATAATTTAAGCTGTGGCTTGAAGTAGAGAGACAGCCACACGAAGTCTTAAAAAGATGGACAGTTTTCAGTCGAACGACAGCAAGGCTGTCTACAATCAAATTTGCATGGCAGCGGCACGGCTCGAACTTGGAACCTAATAACCCGGACATACTAGTAGCAGTAGTTTCAATCCTTGGAGGGGCTGGACATACAAGGCTTTAATAGCGCACGCGGTAATGATAAAGAGTTGCAAGCTAGTGATCCTTATTGGTAGTTTCAAGCCAATACGGTGCAACACTCGGTATGCATTAGAGATAACGATGGATGCTGCTATAAAACTACATCCTTCTGAGAACTGCCATGACTCATTGCAATAGTAAACACATCGATCGTTGCAATATACAAAGCGCTATCGAACAACAGCACCAAGAGCTTCAATATTAATCCACAGTTAGATTAGCACTTGTATCACATTCTAAGGAAGTTCCGTCTCAGTGGACGATGTGGAAACAACAAACACTTATATTTACCCACTCAGAACTGCTGGTATTCAAAAGCAAATGACTCCAGTACCCCAAGAAACAAGGGTACACGGTAAATCTTGAGCCCGAATTACGTTAAGACACCTGAATGAAAACGTTCCCATTCAATTTAGGAGGCCAAATTAATTGCGCGGTACCGATTATACAACAGTACAGAAATGAAAAATCTTCGAGTCTCTTATACAAGTGACCGGAACAACTACAGATGAGGGAGAGCTGGAGGATAAAGCGAAAAAAGATTGGATTTCGAAAAATACATGTAAACCATATATAAAAGAAAAGTATATCTAAACAAATATGTCCTGCTAAAACCGGACAAAGGCAGTTCAGCAATACTGAATGATCATGAATAATCCTATATAACTTGAACACATAAGTGGTTCAATCATTCTTCAACATAATCCAAACCTGTACACGCTTCTGACGGAAGTGTTTTTTTTTTAATTTCACTCCTTCTACCGCAACAGCTGTGCAACAGAGAAGGGATTGTGGGCTCGATTCGGTCGTTGAATCATTTCACGAAATAAAAACGGAGGTAATATCCGATGGATCGCTCAAAGTTAATCTTCCAGCCCCAAGTGGAGTAATGCGAGCACAGTTTCAATCCTACTAGAAGGCGACGGCATCCCGAAATTATTGATTTATTGCTTCCCATGTTACCAAAAGCCCTAGTTACTCAAAATATAGGTGTAACTTCGTTTGCTTTCTATTGAACGATCTAGGGGAAAGCTGCTTTTAAGACAGGCCTGCTTTTTACCCTTTAGTGACAAGTGTATCTACACTGAAATTAAAGATCACAAGCCAATCAACGATGGTCTGATTGGGCGAATGATCCGGTTATAGCCCCGGATGTCGGATTTTCGTCCTCCCACTTTGGTGGGAAAACACTTACTTTACTTTACGGCGGCTGGCTCCTGTGAGAGGATAAGCTGGATTCTTGGATATCTCGAATTGCCGCTG